TGAAATGTTGTTGTTGTTGTTGTTGGGGCCCTCTTGGCCAGGACAGGTACTTCTTCTGAGTTACAGCCCCATACTCTCAAAACAAGTGATTCCGCAAAACAGCAACCCTATTGCTTGCGATGAGCCCTGTATTTAAATGCTCTGGTGTGCAGCCAGTCCCCCTTTATAGCAAGCACCACCGTGCTGCAGTTCAGCTGCCTGCTGCATCAGGCAGTTCACGACGTGATGCCGACGGAAAAGGATGTCTTTGAAGGTTTCCTGTCTGAGGCCGCATAAAAGGGGGCCAGTGGTAGCTTAAATCTGAGCTTTGGGAGAGAGTGCCACCTGATGATTGGAACAGGCCACTGCTGTCTCAACTTCTGACCCCCTGCAAGTGCGCTCGGCTGCAGCTCAGTGTGCCTGAGCTTCAAAATGGCAGACGGTGTTGAGGTGTTGGACTTCGGATGCGGAGATGGACGGTATTTGCAGCCACGTTCTCAGAGATTCCGTTTCATGCTTATGTGTGCATTGATTGAAGAGACTGCACTTGTCGAGGCAGTTTCTGCGCAGTGCAGAGGCCTGGGAGACTGTTGGCCTTTCACAGAAGCCGAGGATCGAGATGACTTTGGGCCCTTGGTTGGACGTTATAACGTAGCACCGAGTTGGCGCAACAACGACCACAAGCTGGTGTTCAAAGCCGTGGTGTGCCTGTCAATGCTTTGGACCTCGCAAGGCTCTCCAATCTCGCAGAAGACCCCTGCGAGTTGTAGCATACGAAGTCTCCGCACCGGCCCCGAATCAAGCATGGCTTGTCCCCCACGCTGCTCATGAGAAGGGACAGGGAGGTTCAAACATGCAGTGGGGTCTTCGAGCTCGTTGTAGAAAAGACAATGTACGCACACGGTCATTGCGATCTCAGATTTGCGGGGGGGGGGGGGGGGGNNAAGCCTTGTTTGTTGCAACTCCTTCCACGTTGTGCATCCGTCCAAGGCAGAAGCTTTGAGAAGCTTTCACACACAGGCAGCGGAAATGCAATGTTTCGATTAGGTGCGACTCGTCATGTAAAACTGCTGCAGCAGGCCCTCCAAGAAGGGCTGGCAGCTACAGAAGAGCTTCGGAAGGCGAGGATGAGATGGAGTGCCGTTACTTTTGCCAAGCGTATATACACACCTGCACACACATGTGTGTATGTATGTATGTGTGTGCGTGTTTATACATGTATGCGCGCCAAAGAAATGGAGCGTTTGAGAGCTTTTAGTAGTTCTTACATGGGCGGCAGTGGTTGGTGCAATCGTAGCAGTACCCATTGTCCTTGTTACGGGTAAAGGGGCGCTAGCCAGTGTCATTGCAGTGAGTTTCCACAACACTGTCTATTGGGCTGCGCACGTTGCAGGATGACGCGCAGCTGGTCCCTCTTCGCGGAAGAAACTTACAGCTTGAGCTCGCACCTCAGGTCAGAGATGGGAAGGTCTACCGTGAGCCTATCACCTTTCCTTCACGCTATTTCAGACGGCATCGGCCAGGACGGTGTAATTAAACGAGCATGCAAAAGATCCTACGCCTTACTCATATGAGCTATAGTCCAAACTCCTTATAGGGGGTTATACAGGCTATTATCAAGGAGAGTACTATAGGGGCTATTAACGATTAAGGGGGATACTTGGAGTTTAGACTATAACCCCTATAATCCCCTATATACTCACAGTTTCCATTTCATTTTCCATTTCTTTTCCATTTGATTATCCATTATTAAGGGGGATACTAGGAGTTTGGACTATAGTTCATATGAGCTAGACGAGCTGACGGCTTGACTAGCAGCGGTCCGTTCTGCACTCCTCGGCTCCATGGCAGACATGATTTGGTTTTCAGCATGTAGCGCCGGAGGCATGTAATGCATGTATCATGTGAGAGTATCATGAGACGGCGTGATCTCAGGTGACAGGCTACGGCAGGCATAAGTAGCACATGTTAGCAGCACATTTCTAGTCCTGTTTAGGCGATCAAGAAGGGTTCTGTATGGTTCTGTAGTAAGTAGCTGTAAACAGAGACCTACAAAGCAGCTACGATGGGGCGCCCATGGCTGCAAGCGGCTTTGCTCTTCGTTTTCCTTCTGAAAATAGGCGCAGGCCTGGACCCTAAATCCTAAGCCCCAAACCCTAAATGGGGGGTTCCCAAAATTAGGGGTACCTCTTTGGGGTCCTTATACTAAGGACTATAGTATTTTGGGGTCTATATTGGGTCCCCTTATTCCAGGAAACTACCAAATCCAAAGCCCTAGAGCCTAAATCCTAAGCCCTAAACACTAAATCCTAAAACCCTCCTGAAGATAGGCGCAGGCCTGGGGGCTTGGAATCTTAGTCACTGCTTATCATGGTGTTTAGGCAGGGGTATTATGGGTTTTCGGGGGTATAATGGGATATATAGTTAATGTGGGGGTTTAGGGTTTAGGGTTGGGTTATACGGGATATGTAGGGATATTACTCCTGTGATGGAGAAACAAAGGGCGAATCATGTGGAAAAGACACTGGAAAGTCTGCCTCTATCGTTGCTTATCATAGTTTGTATGCATGGCGTGCCGGTCTCAAGTTTTTTTTTTCCCCCGTCATTGTGCTTGCTACTACAAAGATCGATGCCCGGCGGCAGCTTTTGATTCTGTGGAGCTAAGCCTAGAAATTGGAAGGCCTTATGCAGATGCATATACGTATACACACACATATATATATATGTATGTAGGTATATACATGCTCCCCAATACCATACATTCCCTTGGATTTCTATAAAATCCTACGCAGCCACTTTAGAAGGGGCCCACACTGCGGGAAAATCGGAGTTTCTCAAAATAGGCGTCCCTTGGAACCCTGCGGATGTCTGGGAACTGTAGGGGATGACAGGAGCCCTGTTAAGGGTCAATTGAGGGACACCCAACAGAGTGCAACCCGTAGTATTCGGAAAGTTACTCAGTTCCTCTCACAGGAGCATCCTTGAAACCCTGGTCAGGCATATCCAACAGCTCGCATGAGTCCAAACTTGACCAGGCCATTAAGGACTGACGTGAGAATGGTTCAGATGTTGCATTTGCTTACTGGTTCTTAGTAGGAACACGAGAACATTTATTATCCCTACATAATCGCCATATAGCTTATTCCCTTACTCCCTACTAAGAACCAGTAAGTTTGTTGCTGCCGAAACCTCGGGCCACCTCTCCGCAGTCCATAGTGTTCTTTTTATTCTCTTGTATAAACCCTAAACGCTAAGAACCCTCAACCGTTGGCCTCCCTATGATGGGGGCATGCCGGAGTTTCACTAGCGCCTGCAATTCCAATGCCCAGCGAGGATGCAGTTGAAAGCGAAGGCACCGAAAGCATCGTGCATGAGTGGAGTGGCATGTTGCTGGTTTGCTGTTAAAGAATTTGAGTTACTTTGCTACGGAAACCCTATCATTTACTACATACCCACATTATGGTTAGTGAATTTAAGTTCCTTAAATCCCTATATTCCCCCCAGTTTCCATTTCATTTTCCATTTTCTTTTCCATTTGATTCTCCATTATAGGGGGATAATATCCCTAAACCCTACATTATGGTAACTGAAGCCCCAAACCCCATAAACCCTATATATACCCTATATACCCAGTATGGTAACATAATTCAAGTTCCTTAACAACAGCCCAGGATGGTATGCTGCTCGGGAGCAGTGATGCTAGCCCTGCTCGTTGGCAACTTCCTGCACGTCTGCCAGGCTCGGGGTGGGGTGGTGGCGAGGGTGCTAGCCCGAAGTTTCCCAAAACTATGGGTACCCTTTTGGGGGACGCTATAAGGATAGTGGAAAAGAAAATGGAAGCTACTATTTGGGCTTAGGGTTTAGTCCTGGAAAGAAAAGCCATAACAACCCTGTTGACTCTAATGATCTCTATGGATAAGCATCTCAAACATTGGTGTTACACTATGGTTGCCCCAACTTTTCGGAACAACCCCTTGCCTTGTATGGGAAGTTATGGTTGCCCTCGGAGCCCCTGCTCCATGATAACCAGCACGAAAGAAAGATGCGGCTAAAACAGAGGGATGTGGGGAAGTTTGGAACTCAAGTTGCCGCACCACACCCGACTACCCATGCCAGGTCAGTATCATCAGCGAATCAAGTGTGATAATCCTGGTCGGCTTTCTGCTCGGCGTGATCTTGCCGACGGATGGCTCCATATTGTGTTGGGCAATGGGCAACGTTGACGTCAATACAGAAGGGCTGGTGATGGCATCTATCTTGAACCTCTTCTTGCTTCCGGTCATTATTTTCGAGGCTGGTTGGTCCATGACCCACAGGGACTTCATCAACCAGCTGATGCTTGACTGCATTGATCCTCTCAAGGCTGATTCTCAAGCTAAGGTGCTGCAACTACACTATACATTACTGTCTCAGAATAAATATGATTACAGTACTGTGTTACAATAGTTAAAGGCGGCGTTGGTAAAAGATGATGGGGTGCCAAGGTTGACGATTCTCACGTTTGCGGTCTTCGGCACGCTGATCTCGATGCTGGTAGTTGGGTTATTGATTATGCAAACCTGCAGTATTCATGGCGTCTGCTCCGTAGCTTTGCTGCACGCATGGCTTTTAGGGTTTAGGATTTAGGGTTTAGGAGGATTTCTACTTCCTCACATTGGCTCACATTGGCGTGCTTCCGATCATAGGGGTCCCTTAAAATTTTCATGGGAGGAAGACAGTACATGGGCTTACTCAACCTCCCCCGTTCGTGGGAATACTCATTCAAACCATACAAAAAGCCTTGACTCACTGGTTCTTAGTAGGCAAAAAGGGGATAGAATGCTCGTATCATCCCCATATGGTATGTCCTTTATTCCCTAAAAAGAACCAGTAAGAAAAATCAGCCGCGGCGTTCCAGGCGCGCACAGCATTTACCTATGCAGCGTTGATCTCAGCTGTGGATCCCGTGGCTGCTGGCCTGCACAAGTGGGGAATAAGAAGTAGGGAATATATTGGGTTTATATATACATGTATAGGGTTTTGGAAAAGTATGAAAACCTCGACAACGTAATAGAGTATGTGTTTGAGTTATAGTAGGGAATAAGGGAATATGTTGGATAGGGTTTCTCAAGATCAGGGGTCCTTAGGGACCTTAAGGGTATGTATGTATATATACATATACATATATGTGAGCTACTGTCAATGTTAGGGTAAGAACGGAGAATCGAATGGAAAAGCAACAGGAAAATGCCACGGAAGCTGGGTTTATGTATGGGTTTTATAGTGAGGTGAGCAACTGTCACTATTAGGCTCCAACGGACCATCAAGGGTGGACATAGGGGTCCCTATAGTAGTTTGGAAAAAGTCCTCCCTAACAAGAGCCCATGTCCGTTATTTATACAAAAAGTATTCACTGTAGTTCAAGCTACTGACGGGTGCCAAGGGGAACATTGAGGTTGACATCGGGTCCCGGTGGTGGTTTAGTATACTCCCCAATACTTTCCCTAACAGGAACCCACGTCCATTAATTATACTGGAAATATTCTTCTACTGCAGCTCATATCACGATTGTCAGGATTCTCTCAAAATGGGGGAGTCCAAGGGGTTCCTTGCGATATAGGAGGCTTACATAGTTTTTTTCCACAACAACGGGTTCCTCAGGGATTGCAAAGGGTTTCTCAAACAGGGGGACCTTAGGGACGCTAGGGGCTTGGCAAAGGCGGAAAACCTGAACCCACAATTCTTTACATGTATCTATATATACCTGCTTAAGAAATCTCACCAGAATCTGGGGTCGTAGTGCATTTTGAAGAACACTGACATCTACTAGCATGACGATCGACGGCTGTAGAGTATAAGTGCAAAAATGAAGTGACATTCTCATTGTCCTTGGTGTTGCTGTTATTGCTGTCATTCTTTTTCGCTTGTCCATGTAATGATTACTCCACTTATGCATTCTTCTGTAACCCTAAACCCTAGTCATTTTGATTTCATCGTCGTCATTATTGCTACTGCTCTTGGAGGCCACCTTGGCCACCTATGCGCACCTGCAAGTCGATCCACTTCTGAATATCATCGTCTTTGGAGAGTCGGTGGTAGCCCGTTCGCAAGCTTCGTGTTCAGCTGACAAGGGCTTGGAATCCATAAATTCATACGCTTAAGGGTCGCTGGGTGAGATTGTGCCTGTTTTTCTGGATGCAAGACTCTAAATTACTAAGCCCCAAGCAGTCTTTCCTCAGCCAGCCGTGCTCGGAGAGGGGGCCAGAGTGGCAAAGGAGCTGAGCTTTTCAGCCAAAAAAGGGTAGGTATAGGGAGCACGTAGGGTTCAGGATTAGATCAATGGATAACCAAAGGGAAAATCAATGGAAACTGACATGATACATAGGCCTATAAGCATCCAACATGGAGAATCACATGGAAAACAAATTGGAATTCTAGTTGAAACTTGTGGCAGTTGTCGGGATGTATCGGCATGCGTGAGGAGGCTTACCGCTGGTTAGCAGGGAAAAAGGGAATATAATCCCCATATGATTCATATGATATAGTCCCAGATTCCCTATTAATACCAGTAAGATGAGGAGACTTGTTCGGTCAAAGGTGTGTGCTACTCTTGCGTGCGGGTTGGAGCTCTCAAGAATGGGATGCCTGATTTCCGGCAACACCAATGTAGGGTTCAGGATTCAGGGTTTAGGGTTGTTTCTGCGGCGCTCTCTGGAGCCTTGCGTCTCATTTTGGCTGGGCCCTCATAGGAATAGACTTGACTGCCACTTGATGCCATGCTGCTGCTCGTAGCACCGTATATCGGTACGCCTTCGACTTGAGCCAGGGCAGCGGTCAGAAGCTGCTGAATTTGCAGAGTACCCCAAAGCCCCGAAAAGCAAAAGCAAGAATCCATTATAGTCCTTGGCGTTTCGGGTTAAGGCTCAGATGACACTTGTAGGTTCCCAATTTTGAGGTTGGAGTAAGCAAAATCTCCTTACTGCTATTGCCCATTCTGGCGCCGGTTGCTGCAGTCGGTTTCGAGGTGAATGATGCAGTCGCTATCGTGCTATTCCGAGTCCTTAACAGTGTCTTGGATCAAGCTGGGAACTTGCTGGGAAAAGGAGTGGGTTCAAGCGACCAAACCCAAAGCGAGCTCCACGTCTTGTCCTACCCAAATTTTGGTAGCATAGACATATGCATATATATATATAGAGGTATATGCGTGCGTGCATGCGTTCGTGCTCATGTGCGATCGTAAGCCTACTCTGTAAGTAGGCGCTTGCCGTATCCAACTTCCATTGTTGCATGTGCAGTACTGAAGCTGAAGACAAGCTTCGGGGGTGCTACACCATGCCGAAGGTGAAACGGAGAACTTTTCGGACATGAGTCTTAACGCCGTCAGCCTTCGTCGCGCACCTACTCCCTGCCTGACGCAAGCACAATGTGTATGTATGCACAATATGTGGGTGAGGTCAGCGTTGACAATCCCAGCGTATAGTGCAGCCCAGGCATAGGGTCCCAGACTCTTCTGCTCCTGTTCGGTTCAGTCGGTCTGGGCATCGCCTTGGGATTCTTGCTGATGTGCCGTGGCTGGCCACATTGCTGTTCACAATAGCGACAAACTGCTTGATCCAAGAACTCTTGTCGGCACATTGAGGCTAACGACTCGCTACTGCCGTGCGAGCCTTACTTCACGGCGGCCCTGTACCTGGCATTGTCGTCAAGGAGCGTGTGAGTAAGCTGGAAGTAGGAGGCAGAATGCAACCACCATGCTATTTCATGTGACTGCTGAGGTCTAGCTGACCATACTTCCAGTTGTGTGCTGTTCGTCTTTGTCTCCAGCTTCTTCATCTATTGCTTTGCTGAGCGCGTGTGCCATGAATGCATCTGGCAACAGTTAAGCAATTCCCAGCTTCATTGGGAGGAAAGAAGGGCAGGCGCTTCATGATGCTACTAGTAGACTTATTGTGAACGTGCAGGAGGCCCGCACAAATTGCGAATGAAGACTGCCACTGCATGACGACGACGACGACGACGACGACGACGACTACTACTACTCCTGCTGCTGCT